AAAAATTGGCACTAACACCCCTTCATTCCACTCACAAGGAAACTCAGTGGTGGGCCCTGTTGCGCTCCAGCATTGTACGCACCAAGGCAGGTTACGGCGTGCTCAGATTCGAACTCAAGGACAATGGGGCCTCCGCATGCTGACCTGAAGGCTGAGTTCCCAGACGACTCGCTTGGCCGGGCTGTTCAAAGCTTGACGTCAGATTGTTCGAGGCCCAGGCTCCTTCCAATCCTGCAGGCAACCTAGGCTTGAGCCTTGAGCACTTCCAACAAGAAACCCTCAGGCTGTTCAGTGTTGAGACTCTGAGAGCTACTTTTTAGAAGCACTTCCAGGCGTCTTCGCTGCAGGATCTGGTGATTTGCACAAGGGTTAATCAGAATTATGAACTGAGCTGAATGCATTGATACAGAAAGGTATAAAGGTTGCTGGATTGAGTGGATTGGGCCGGGCCGCATGTACAATCTTTTGAGACGGTGCTCAGAATGTTACAACAATGATATTGCGAGTTTTTGAATGTCAGCCAGGAGCTCCGATCGGACATGTGACCTCCGAACAACCTCTCGCACTCCTGTCTGGCTGGCCGGTTTGCTCGTCTAGCAAGATGGGGTGCGCCTGTGGAAAAGTCTGTAGATAAGCCAAGCGCACTCGCGTTAGTTCTGGATTGGCTGTGCGGAAATCTCCGCAGCACAGCTGCAAGAGAGCTTTGTCACCACACGATGCAGCCTGTTGTGGTGAATGGTACTACTGCGGTTGTCACAGGAAGAATTAGTCCTTCAGGGTCGGAATCACCTCTTGTGGCACGCACAGGGCGGCACAAGCAACGATACGAGAATGGTGTGCGGCTGCTGGCTGGGTGAGATGCCAAGTCTCCTATGGGCAGCCAAGCATCCTGATCTTGGTTGACTAACTGTATGTAGCAACTCCTCTTTTGTGATTTCTGCTGCTTAGTGACCCTGTTGATTAACTCAGGCTCTATTGTACATTTGGGTGATTCATCCTGCCCTCATGTTGAGAAGTTCAGAACAGCCGTGTATGGAAAGATGGTAATGGTGGAAGAGTTTCTCCCGGCTTGAAGATGCTGATGAACTCTTCGACCGGCTGCTGCTAACAACAGAATGCGATCTTGTAGCTTTCAGAAGATTTGAAGCATGTCCTGTCGCTCATATCTGAAACCTTCCCTTTGCTTGACTGAGGCTTTACTCTGAGAATGCTATGATGCTTGGGTTGCCGGTGGAGGTGGGAAGGGAGCGAGCTTTTTGTCCTCAACATAAAATTAACTGTTAGTTTACCAGGTGCTTCGTGATTTGTGTCTTTGTAAGTCATACTGATGCTGAGATTGTTCTGAGATTGTGGACTGGGGGATCCCGGATTTGGATAGAGCTTGTGGGGACTGATCCAAAATTCAAGAATGTCTTCCCTTGTCAAATCGGAGCCGCATTTTTGGATAGCATCTCTGAGACAGGGAGAGTCAGTAACTGGTCTTTGAAATTTTTTCCCTGCACAGCTGGTTCTCAATGCATCTTAGGGTTTTGAGTTAAGCTGATAGGGGTTGTCCAAATGGTCCAGACTAAGTGCGACTTTTGCAAAGTATCAGCTCTGGTAGGTAGTTCTTGCATGCTCGAATCGTAAAACACCAACCAGAGATGAGAGAGATTGCTTAATCTACTCTAAGTGCTTTGTCCCCGTTTCCATGATATTGTTGGCAGGCTTTTTTGACTTGCAGTGAGCGGGTTCCGGAAGGCTGCATAGTAAATTTGTCCATCCCCGTTTGCAGATGCATACCATATCGGACTGTTTCAAAAGTTGGTGCTGATGGAAGGAGCCAAGACATCACAGAGGTGCTGTTGATTACGAGCCAACATGGCAAGGCGCTTCTTTTCCCAAAGGTCGGGATCCGTTGCTGTCGACTTCCGCCTTTGTTCTGGCATTGTTAGTGTCTTTGGTTGGAGTATCTTTGAGCCTCGTATCAATTACCAAGGGTAGATTCGGTTGAAAGTTCTGTCCTCGGACGTACTTCGGTAATTTGAAAATCAAGTAGGAAGGGCTCCTGGAAGCAATGGTGTAATTGTGGTCACAGTCAGGTGTGTCCACTCGTCACGCAAGCACTGCAAATTCCGCTGAATATCAGACTCGGAGCACTTGGAGGCTGCTGGCAGAGCTTCTGTCGGAGCTTCATTCGCAAGTGCTTCTCCATGAACGGAACGATATGTCTAAATCAAAAGAGGAGACGCAGGAGTCAAAAGAGGATTGATGTTTTCTGAGAGCCTAACATGCATCAAATGATGCAGGGGGGATGGGAGATCGACGAAACGATGGAGGAGGCTGCCCTTCGAGAGGCGATGGAAGAAGCCGGCGTCAGGGGAGTTCTTGGGGTGAGACCCGGCAAGAACTTTTCTTTTCCTGTTGCCCTTTCAAACAAACAACTTGGACCAGGGGATGAAACCACGGATTACCTATCATTTGAACCATGACAAACTTGAAAGTGTGCACCCATCAGATGAATTTGAAACTGGCGCAAAATGTTTGTACCGTGGAATTGTCAGGGTTGATCGGAATGCTGTCTTTCTACGCTCTAGGTAACATCAGCGCCGTCGCGCTCAAGTCCGCTGACGATGGTTCTTACTGTTTCTGGGATTTCGTAAATAACTGAAGTGAGCAGGGTGTGAATATGTTGTTACAGGAGGCTTTGGGAGCCTACGACTTCAAGAGCAAGCGGAAGGAACAGGAGGACGGGAATTGGACGCAGTTAGATTGTAGAGCATATGTATACCCACTTCGTGTCACGGAAGAAATGGAAACATGGCCCGAGCAAGACAGCAGATCACGATCTTGGGTGAGGTTTTCGCGTCTAGTTGAGTTTGAGGTGGAGATGCTCCAGCTGCTATTTATTATACCTGTTGATCAGTCAGTGATCTGCTGCAATACTGCTGTCTCAAATGCTGGTTCGCTTTTGGATGTGTTGGTATTGGAGGATGTTTTGGACAAGTCTGGGATAATCTGAGCATCTTCTGTCCAACAATGGCACTAGGCTTTGTATCATCAGTAAGGGTCGAGTTGTGCCGTGTTGACGTTTTGTCAAGGGCTCAAGACATCTGGCAAGTACTCAGAATCTGATTTTTGCATGCAGTGTCCTCTTGATGAGGCTATCACCAAGTTGCGACATGACTGGATGCAACAAGCGTTGTCACAATGGGGAGCAACGCTTGGGCCTTCGGTCTTCTCCGCGTAGTTGTTTAAATCATGGGGTGTCATTCATAGTCAGGTAGCGTTTAGTTCTACAAACAGTATCTATGTGAAGCTGGGAACAGGTCAAGAAGGTACCGCAAGCAGCGTAGGTTTGAAATTGAATACCTGACGCTGCCTGGGCTCGAATGGAAGAGAGACCTCTCGTAGTCTGGCGGCCAGTTGATATTTCGAGGGGCAGCAGTCTCATCAGTTGATACGCCAGAGGTTAGTAGAGGTCGATTGTCTAGTCCTTGGAGATGTGTACTGAGCACTCGAGCCCTTGTACAGGCCCGTGGAGATTCGATATCAGCAGTTCGAGTGCAAGTATGATCCTTAGCAAGTTGCTCTGGTTTTCTCATAGATTGTTGCACTTGCTGTTGCACCTATCCAAGATTGAGCTACGCTTAACAATCCAAGAATCGATTTGGGAACAGTAGGCGGCGCCTCTTCATATGGTAGAAATCATGTACTGTCTCTTGTATTGTGCTTGGTTAAAGGCAAAGTGCAAGTCTGTCGTGGTCAGATTTTGGCCTGTTCATACGTCATTCTAAACCGTGTTTGTGTTTGCTGTTAAACTGTGGGTCGCATCTGGATCCCTCTGCCCTTTCTTAGGCTTATTGTCCTCCTTGTGTCAGAAGCTGGTAACTCCCGTCTCTAAGAAAAGGCCGCCAGTGCACTCGTGAATAGACCATTTGCACGTGTTTTATCGAATGCCCATGTATCAGAAGCATTTGCATGTTTAAGCCAATAAGTTCCTGTGTCGTATATGTCAACATGGCTGTCGTGGCGCATGCGTGCGGCGCCGCCTGTCCATATCATCATACGTGCTGGCATAGTGATAACCAAACAACAATTCGAGCTCGCGAAGGTACGTTACGACAGTTCATGAATCGGTCGGACTATACATATACTCTCCGGGCAGTCTATAGCTAGCTCTAATCCTATAGCTCGAACGCAATTGTTTCATGTCGGGGCTGAAAACCCCCCCAACACACCGAATTTTTTTCCGGAG